TTTGTTGCTCAAAGTCGGGGTCCGTCGAAAGAGCTCATAAACGTTTCTCCCCAATAACTTCAATTTCAGTTCATGAAACTTATTTCGTCACCTCATCGTCGTATACTCGTGCCCTTTACCCATAGAAAAGTCTGTATCAAAACAAAAAGATGCACATTAGTTATCATCAACAGTATTTTACATCACTAATGTAATTCAGTTTGGTGGCCAAAATGAAAAAGGAAGTTATAACATTGAGTTGATTTTATCAGTCAACATGATATTCCGCTCCTATGGACCATTCCATTTCACCTTTGAGTTTTTGATCTGTTTTAAGTTTTTCTAAAAATTCTTGAAGAAATGTAATTTTCATTTAAAGAAAGGGTGCCACAAATCATTGGATATTAAATGTAAAAGTTTAAAGGTAAATGAATGATAATTGAATATAGGTTCCTCTGGCTATGAGAACATAAGGTTACATTAGGTATAGCATGCGTACCCATGACAATTGGGAAAACCACTATATCACAGCGCAACAAACCATGTTGATCTTTTCAATTATATGTGCCCGGTAAGTATACTCAAGTTAGTGAATATAACTTTGAAAATATCAACGTTGCTTCATAAAGACAGCATATCAGTACTATCTAAGAGAAGTAGGGTCTAATATTATACCATTAAGTTCCTCTGAACGTACAGAGGAGATCGATTATGAGTAGTGCCTTGGGAACGGCTCTATTTACATAAGAGAACCCACATAGTGAGCTTGAGGATATTTCTTTTTCAGTAGTGACCATTGGACAAATAATTGATCGGTCAAAGAAAGTATCATGATTCTTGAAATGCTCTCCACATAGAATAAGTAGCTTTACCAAATCCCATTTCTCGCTAAGTTTATTAACATTTTTCTCTCATTTTCATCTATTTGTTCTTGTTTAGTTTTCCTTTATTATTATTTTAAATTTGAAGGAAGGGCCAATGGTGTAGCCGTGTAGGAATATGACAGGATACTTAAAATAAGCTCGACTATTGGTAAATAGAGTTCCCAATAACACCTACCATGATGCTCCAAAAGAGAATATAGAAATGGTCCAACGACTAATGTACATTTTATCGCCTCTGTCTTTGATGAGCCTGATATCCCAAATTAGGAATATAGTAATAGATATGAACCATGTTGTCACGACCCAAAATCCACTATAAGTCGTGATAGCGTCTAACGCCGCCGTCAGGCAAGCCAACGGTGATTTACCAATTTGATGGCTCATTTTATTACTTTCGAAATCACAAATTTTAATAAGAAAAGGAGATTTACACTTCCAAGTCACGGGAACGTACAACGTTTGTAATTTATAAAAGAAATGAAAGGCAATAATAATATACGAAACCCTAAGCATCAACTAGTATAACCCCAAAATCCGGTATCACAAGTGCATGAGCATTATCTAAGGAGTACAATAAATAATACGATGGAGACTCGGTGGACTGTGATGCGTAGCCTGAATTGCAGCTCACATAAAGTCTCTTCAACAGATGCGCCTACGCGCCAAGATGATCACCAGATAAACTTGTCAGATCCTGCACATTTAGTGTAGAAGTGCATCATGAGTACGTAAATCAACGCGTACCCAGTAAGTATCTAGCCTAACCCCGGAGAACTAGTGACGAGGGATCGACATCGACACTTACTAGAGATCCAATAAAATAATATAATAATTCATAACAGATATGAAGTGCACAGCGATAGTGGGGTAAATCTGTAAATTTTTAATCTTCCAAATATTTCTTTTAAAGTATAAATTTTTAGATCTTGTATTCTACCTTAATAGCTCAGGAAATTCCAAGTGTCAATATCAAATAAATAAGGAATACCATAAAAATGTCGGGCATCAGTGGAAGGTTTATCTCGTGAATATTCGGACTACTAGCGAAATAACACACGATTCTGCCGAGGTCGTTCGGCCCGATCCAGAATAATATGTACACTGTCGAAGATCGAGCAGCACGAACCATAGATGCATATATTATACTGCCGAGGTGTTCGACCCGCTCCACAAGAAAGGAAGTTACCGAATTACGAGACGTGTTTACAATACAGTAATGAGCACAGAACGAATATAATCTTTGTCGTTTCTCAAATAACTCGCCCAAAACTTAAAGTGTTAATGCTCGGCCTATTATACATATATTTATTTCTAAATCAAATTTAGTTATAACTTTAATTAATTAAGCCAGCAGGACGAGTTCAAATAACTCAATTATTACATGATAAAGTCCTAAGTCTACCCGGACATAAACATGCTTTAGCTACGTACGGACTCTCGTCACCTCGTGCGGACGTAGCACTTACAACTAGTTGCACATAACAAAAAATATCACCTGGGGTAGTTTTCCCCTAACACGGTTAGACAGGAAACTTACCTCGCTCTGAAGTTCCATGACCGGCTCCAACGCCTCTCTAACACCTCAACTCAAAGCCAAATGATCTGTAACTAGTCAAACAATGTGCAACTCAATCAAAATATACTCCAATGCTTTTTTTTTTTATGACCGAGAAATCCGTCTGGGGCCGATCCTTTGGACCAACCGCAGCCTTCGAAACTCGGTGGATAATGGACCCGCCCCTCTACCCTTCTCCACATAAATACCAGGCTTTACTTTGCATGGTGTGGGGGCTTGAACCTGTGACCTAAGACACAAATCCACCACCCTTTGCCACTTGAGCTAGGCCCTGGGAGCAAATATACTCCAATGCTTATAATTAATCAATTCATAAAAAGCCCCAACTCCGCTCTAAAAGTCAATAAAATTAACCCTCGGACCCACATGCTCGGATTCCGAAAATTTTCGAAGATAAACTTTACCCATAACACCACGAACTCAAATATATAATTTATTCCTAATTCCATTTCCAAAATAGTGGTCAAACTCCAAAAATACCAATTTCTAGGTTTTTCACCAAAATCCCAAATTTCTACAAATTCTCATGCTTAAATCCATATATAAACCATGTATTTAACTCAAAATGTGAAGAAATCACTTGCCCCGTAATAGATGATGAAGATGGCACTCCAAAATCGGCTTCCATGGACGAAATGAAGTGAAATTGAGCCAAACCCCCATTTTAAAAGAACACACTGCCCAGCCCGACCTTCGCACCTGCGGTCCATTTGCCACTTCTGCAGAAATTCCCATCTCAGGTGTGGTTCCCACTAAGCCTAGCCAAGTCCGCTTTTGCGGATGAAACGTTGCACCTGCGGTGTCACTTTTGTGACCACTCCTCCGCTTCTACGGAAAATCCCCCAACACAAAGCCTCGCACCTCAAAGAACATTCCCTGCTTTTGCGGCATCGCAGGTGCGACATTCTTCCGCTCCTGCGCCTTCACCTGCTTCTGCGCCCAGGGTTTCTCTTCTGCCCTTGCGCAGATGCGGCCAAAGCTCTGCACCTGCGGCCCTTCTCCTGGCCGGCTTTCTCCGCTTCTGCGACAACCCCCATCGCACCTGCGTGTCCGCACTTACGACCAAGCCACCGCAGGTTCGGTGACACCAGATTTCAGTAGTTTCCAGCATTTCCTCAAATCCAAATTTCAATCAGTTTCAAACCTGAGGCCCCCGGGACCCCATCCAAACATACCAACACATCCCAAAACACGACACGAACCTACTCGGGGTCTCAAATCACACCAAACAACATCAAAGTTGCAAATCGACAATCGAAACCTTTCTTTAAACTTTCAAACTTCGACGAACGCGTCCAATTCATATCAAAACATTTCGGAATGACGCCAAACTTTGCGAACAAGTCATANGAATCGACGATCGAAATCTTTCTTTAAACTTTCAAATTTCGACGAACGCGTCCGATTCATATCAAAACATTCCGGAATGACGCCAAACTTTGCGCACAAGTCATAAATCACAATACGAACCTATTTCAAGGCTCGGAATCCCAAACAGAGATCGACAACACCAAAGTCCACCTCAAACCAAACTTAGGAAATTATAAAGCCTTCCAAATACCAATTTTTCACAATAAGCGCTGAAATGCTCCCGGGTGATCCGATACTCAACCCAAACCTACGCCCAAGTCCGAAATCATCATACGAACCTATTGGAACCATCAAATCCCGATTCCTAAATCATTTACTCAAAAGTCAAACCTTAGTCAATTCTTCTAACTTAAAGCTTCCGAAATTAGAATTTTCTTTCCAAATCAACTCCAAACTTCCCGAAATTCAATTCCGACCACACGTACAAGTGATAATACCTTATGTGAAGCTACTCAAGGCCTCAAACCATTGAACAACACGTTATAGCTCAAAACGATCGGTCGGGTCGTTACACATGTGCAACCTCAAACTTATTGGGATTTGAATCAAGCATTTTTAACGTGCAATTCAGACATACTAAGGCAAATCGAAAAAGGAAAACCGAAATATCACTCTCTAACATACGAACCTTAAAAAACATAGTGGAGTACATGTTCCTGGACCATTGCACATGATCTAGGATATCAAAAAGTATATAAATCAGTTAAGCAGGATCTTAAAAAGAAAAAAGAATCTGGAGATGCAAAAAGGTTGCATTGGGAGAGGGGGTTTCCGAAAAAGTAATATGAATTAAGTTTGTCTTTTACCACTTTAGGCCTGATCTTGATCATCAAGTATAACGTATGTGCCAAAGCAATCAATGTCGTCCTAACGGAGGTAATATATGATTGACTAACTTCTCAACTTCGATGTATTTGCATTAATTCTTCCTACTCATCTATTCCTGCCTAGATTAAGAGGTGAGCCTGTTAAGGTACACAATATCATGGATCAATCAAATCAATAAATTGTGCCTCAATCCAAAATTCAACAGCGAAATATGTATTACCCATATTTTGCTTAAATGCTTAAATAAAACTGATTTAACCTAAAGCTTCACGAATATTTGCAAACTAAATAATTCCACCAACTGTGAGGGGAAAGGGGGGGTGTTCGCAGGCTACTCTAAGAGTTGCTTACTGACAAGTCAATACCAGTTCAACAGATATTGTAGGATGCGTTGTTAGTGCAAAACCAAATACTCAAATTGTAGAGTACCAAAATATAGTACAAGAAGACTAGCCTCAATTACTTGAGCATCCAGTGAATTTATGTTAAGACTTTAGCTCCTCAACATCTTTAAATAGTGTCAAGTTTGTTGTCTCCATGTTCATATGTTTTGATTTGACAACTTCATTGGACTCCCCATTTTTAGGAGAACTCAAGTTGATGTCTTCCACAGTCTTTGCCAATTTTGGCTCCACTTCTTCTGCAACAAAATATGTACCCTTGTTGTTCTCAACCAACTGTATTGAGAAGCAATTGTCTAATACATCGTCACGGTTCAAAAAGTAGTCATTACGTAATCGTCTTTTATAAATATTTGAAATATTGTTTCAACAACCTCATCGGTATTGGACTTTGTATCTTTTGCAAAGTTCAAACCTAAGTCCACAATTTTTTCCAATCTTGGTTCCTCTGTTTCTTCTTCAAATTTAATATCCTTGTTGTTTTTACCTACCTGCATTTGAGAAGAAAACTTTTACTACTAGATTATCACAGTTTTAGAAAAGGAAATGTCTCATGGTAGTATGGTTTTTCTCTTGATGCCAATGACCAATTGTACCAAAAATTAATGCCACCAAAGTTATTAAATGGCAGAATATATATAATCAAGATATACTTTGGTCAAATGTTTACAAAATGTATCATGTACAATAAATTATCAAATACATCTTTTTACAGTGGAGGAGCTAGTGTTGGCAGTTTGAAGCTCAAACCAAAAATCATGAGCCATATAAGCAAATCATGAGCCATATAAGCAATCTTCTCCTTTATATCACATATATTTCTGTTGTCAGCAGTTGAGCGAGTTAACTCTTTTACCTAAGAAGTTTAGCAAAAGCATTTAACCCAGAAGTTTAGCAAAAGCTACGTAATAGACAAAACGTTCGAAAATATATGAGCTAAACAGAGTTTGCAAAGAATAAAAGTAACTAAGGCATATGCTCAAATTTACAAGACATATTCTCCCTCTTCCTTTTACACATACAAAGCCAACCTCAAATTGTTTACATAAGCAACACCTACTCGAATCTAGAATTTGAGAGAGATGATGATATCACAAAGAGATTTACAAACTCCAAGTCTAAGAAACTTTTTGATTATTTGAGTCTAATATTAAGTCAAAAATTTATAAATTAATCAGTACGTGTTACGGACAAAGGTTATACTATAAGTAAAGCAAAATGCTACTATCAACACTAATTTCTAAAAGCATATCAAATGCTAAATACTAAAAAAGCATAGATGATCATTCAAAAGAGACAAGCAAACCTGGTATGATGATATCAGGTACCATTTGAATTGGGGGATCACCAAAGCTTGTTACAGAAGGCTATTCTTTTAGTACTCTGCTAAATCAACATTAATTATATTGCTATAAAACACAGTATAGATGCAATTAAGAGTTGCATTTATAGTTTTGAATATTTGATAAGAAAAAAATGATCCAGACAAATTTATAGTGTGTTTCAAATGCGGCTATCTAACTTCTATTAAACGTGAGTCTAAAATATATTTAGAGCTTAACTTATCCATAATTTTTTCCTGATATCTATCGTTTGATTAGGAAAAAGTAAAATAGATAAAACTTGGTACATCTATAATATTCACTTAAACACATATGCAATCCACACACTTCATCTAGGTTGATGCCATGAGCAAAAAGAGAGTACTTGTGGTCACATGTTGACTATTTGGCAATCAAGTAATATAAGCACGTCGAATGATGTATTCTTTGATCATGGCACAGCAAGATGCAGCAATTGCGAAGATGGAAAACATCCTTCTCATATTGTATGCCATTAACACTCGCACCAACACTCCAGGAAGAACTGATTATTAGCTAAAGTATGTCATATGATTTTCAAGAAATGAATTTTTTGAAACTAAATATATGAAAAGGAAGGACTATGTAAACAAAGCTCAACAATGAAATTACGTATTACCCATGTTTCGCCTCTTTTTGAAGAAAGTTACAGAAGAAAACTATTTTATTGCTATAGTGAGCACCTCCAGTCCTATAATCTCAAATGAAATGTAAAACTTCTTAATTACACGATGATAATGCAAAACAATGTCCACATAATACTCCAGGAAGAACTGATTATTAGCTAAAATATGTCAAATTATTTCCACACAGTCTGATCCAAGCTAATATTACTTACCTTCGAGTCCACCTAGGTGATGTTTGATATGGATGGAGCAAACTTTCCCTTAATTTTGTCAATCCAAACAGGATCTACAACTTGACTGTTCTCGCAACAATGCGTCGTCAATATGCCATGATATCTCCATAACTTGTGATCCATGGAACATTCTGCGTATAAAAATAAAGACACTTCTATGAGCTAAATACTTGTGGTGAAAACTTTTTGAGGGTGACAAGAGTTACAATTTTCCTACCATGGCAGTGTTAACCTACAAATATAAATTATAAGGTTCCGAAGCGTTATCGAATCTTTTCCATTAATTCACTGGAGGGGGGATATCATTAAACTGAACATAAAAATGCAGCTAGATAATAAAAGAGTTGGCTAAACCATGTCTATTAACAATGAATAGGAAATCACAATTCATGACGAAAATACTTTCAGTAATATGTCTGATACTTTATCTATATCTTCCATATGCACTACCAGTAGGATAAAGTAAACATCATTAGCCCGTGACCTGTTGTGTCAATCATAGAAAGTACGCTTATTTTATGTAGGTATACATCATTGAACTGATGGAAGGCGAAAATAATTTCTGACAGCTTTAAAGAACTTCAAGAGCTAGCCAAAAAAAAAAAAGACCCAAAAAGCATAAAGTTCAAATTTTGAAGAGATAAGGTTATGAAATTGTTCACAAGAACTGACCGCAGAAGCTGATTTTGTAAGGCGAACCACACGTTTAAATCGTTTGAAGGTGTGAGTTAAGATTTGTTGAAACAACATATTAAAAAAAATTCACGTCAATCTTAGTTTCTTTCGGGCAATTTCGCAAACACTTCTAATGCAAACCCAAGTTCAAAACATGAGACGCAAACATTGTTCAGATAAAAAACCAACTGAATCTTAAATCTAAATAACAGTAGTACTCGTACCTTTATTGTATATGACCCAAAGAGCAAAAACTTGGAAGAGCTGGTGCACATATGTACAAACGGCAAACTGAAAGACAGAGCAAAGAAGAGAGGAGCTTGAGAAATCATCAAAGATTTACACAAACAAAACAGAAGAAGCGGATGAGAATAATTTCACAGAGGAAGTCGATGAGCAATTTTGCTTGGTAAGGACGTGTCAAACCTGGAACAAAGCGGGCAGCACGCGTCTAATGTTACAATTAAACCCTCTTTCTAACCGGACGTTACTCTTTTTTTAACCGGATGCAGCTCTTATTACTACTATTAATAAGCGGAAATTTGAGTTGCCTCCGGTTACAACGAGAGTTGCATCCGGTTACTATTTGGGTCATAAGGGTATCTATGTAATTACGGTGAAATAGAGCAACACTATAGGCTAAAAGGGTTTATTACTGTAGCTCACCTACAAAGTTTTGAATGTGTTGACCAATTGAACCTTGGTGATATGCATTCCCAATAAGGGTCCATTTCCCCACTGCAACCCCTTTAACTCTTCACGTGTCTTCATTATTGTTGGTGCCATTTGAACTCATCACATTCACAACCATTAAATACGTAGAGCGCTTGTAAAAAAATATTTTGAAGGGCTAACAAATTAGCTTTTAAAGAAAAGTATAAGAATAAAAATAGCTACTCCTATTTCTTTCTGGAGCAACAAGCGGTAATGAGAGGGGATTGAGCTAATTGTGAAAAAAATGAGTTTATACTGGTTAAATGCAAAAAATAAATCCAACAAAAACAAACAACACTGGCTACACATGATTATTCAAAAATGTTTTATATTCAGCCGCTTCAATTCATTTATCAAAAAATTCATAATTTTCTCTAAACACAAAAAAGAAAAAACAAGTGAATTCTTCAAAGAAACTTCTAAAATGCTACGGTTTATTTAATTAATAAATAATAAGTATTTGCTTTCGATTTAAAAAAAATTGACAGGTATTATTTGCAATCCTTTTTTTAATAGACAAAAGATAATACATCAATCCTTAAAAGAACACTCGGGGAAATCTTTTGCAAGCAAACAATGTTCAATATAGTGTTTGACAGAGGTGGACCGCGAATGTAGCATTTGAGCAGTCGATTTATCAGAATCCAGTACTTTCGTTTATGAAACCTAAATTAATGTGTAAAAATTTAATAAAATTGTAATAAATAATATGTCTGAACCGATAATTAAAATAATAATAAATTCAATAGTTAGCTTATCCATAATTTATTTTACTTGTAAACCTACAATAAGAGCACTACAGCAAAGATTGAACAGTAAAATAGTAGTAGTAAAATGATATAAAAAAATAGAAACTTACTTTTAAAATTATCAAATATAAATTGAATAAAATAATTAGAAGAACAATAGAATATTATCAAAATTTATGAATTTATGATAACCATCTCAAGGTTAGACTATATTGTTGCAAGCTTTCGTTCGTATAAAAAATATATAGAGAGAGATTAGAGAACGATCAATTAATGAAAGTATCGTTTAAACGACATGATTTGAAATAATAAAAAAATATTTGAAGAGAACTCAGATAATATTTGAAGTTGATATTAGAAAAAATATTAAGAAATTAGGCGTTGTCCGAAAAAGGAAAGAAAGAAATCATTTTAATTTTTGCTTCAGCATACAACTTTTTCAAAATGCAATGTGACAAGTTGGGAAGGATCTTATGACTAGGAGTATTCATGAAAAATAAAAAATAAAATTAATTTAAATTAGATTCATATGAGAAAGTTTAACCGACTATGAAGTACCATAAAGAAACCACAAGAGTTGAGGGAGCGAAACGCATATAACTGAAGATGCAAAATATACAGACTCATGCCCATCATACTTGCAAAATATCAACCAATACTCAGTTAATTTTTTCATTATGAAAGGATATGTTTCAGAAAAAAAATATATGTTCTCGTCGACCATCCCAACAAAAATAAGAACAATATGACACAGAAGGAGTTGAACCATCATCAATTTCAAAGTAACATGCTAGAAGATCCATAAAAAAACAAACATTCACATTTTAATATAATATGTATTATGGAGAAAGTTTTGGAAACAAAATTTCATGCCTTTGTGTTGGATTATATTATAAAAATTGAACAATTTTTCAAAAGTTTAAACTAAAGGAAAAAAATAATCTATTTACTAAAGGAAACGTTTTTTAAAATCTTGAATTAGCTTTGATTTTGAAACCCACATTTGTCACATTGCTTGAGTAACATGACTTTGTGCGGACTAAATGTGCATTTGAACTTCACAAAAGGACTTTGAGAAAATAATTTCAATAAAAATAAGAAACAAATACTCTGATTGAAAGAAAAAGGAAACTTTAAGAGAAAACAACTTTACAAAACTTTTTAGTATGATCAATTTAGGTAAAAAAAATTAGTTTTTTAATGTAATTTTATCTTTGTTAAGTTAGATTAGTAATTAAATTAAACCTTTTAATTATCACCATATAGATATATCTGACCACATTTTTATGAGGACGATTTAAGTTTTTTCACTAAGATATTATTAAATAGGGAATTTGATAATAAAAGTATTGTAACTTAAAATCTTTATATTTTTCTTGATATACTAAAATATTACATTTGCCAAAATTGGTTAATCAAGTTTAAATTAGTTTTGAATAAACTTGGTTGTGTCAAGCATTAATATGTTATAACTCAAATTGACTTCAGCAGAATTGTTTAGGATATAGTAATTTTTTTTGTACAAAAAAAGGGGTGAAGAGAGAGTATCTATTTTGATCATGCAAATAGTGGCATTTTGATTACAAAGTCAAACGTTCTACATCACCAAGTGACTTCTAATTATCTTTTTATCAACTATCCCACGGTTCCCTATGATCTTTTATAGATGCTTTATCCCTCAAAAACCAACTTTATTTAATTAACTACTAAGCAACTCGGACAGAAAGAAAACTTTACCAGTTTAGCTATGACAATTGGGCCCGAACTGAGCCCGGGCACACCCTCACTAGTTATAGTATATATAGGATAAGACATCTCTGAAGTGCCAATACGAGCCGAAGGTAGGACCTGAAGAACAACTCCTATGCCTTCAATATGGAAATCACCTACGTCTAAGCTAGAATGGAAGAAACTGCAAGTGCACCTACTATACCAGAAATGCACCCCCCAAGTCAGATGCACTCGTCTTGCTCAGCCATTGTATATGCCACACCGTAACTTTCAACTAAGAAAAGCAAAATAGAAAATCATAGGGCATTAAAATTTAAGTTAACGAGGTCTGAGCTTTCTAAAAATTCATTTGTTTGTCAATGTCCATGGCATATAACTAACGTTGCTTCACTGCATATAAGTTTTTGGACTGGTCAAATGATAAAAGAAGTTGATGTATGAATCAGCACCTTCCAAATTATACTCCTGAGCTAAATAATGCCACCAGAACATCTGCTTATAAAATATCTAAACCAGAACAAGAATTGACTTTGCTGCAACTACAATCAATTGCCAAATAACATTATCATCAAGTCCTTTTNGAAAAAAAGCTACCGAACTTCTCCATCCTCACCAAATTCCCCATCTTTATGATCCTCACTGTCACCATCCCTATGAGAACCACTCCTATGATCTCGCTTTTGTTTCTTATGCTGGCCCTCGGAATTAACTTCAGAACTCCACACGTGCTGGTCCACCTATTACATCAAAGCTCTATGCATTAGAAAGTTTCAGAGTTACCAAAAGGAACAATCTCCCTAATCTTCAGATATTTTCAAAGATGATATCAGACCTGTTTTGACTTCTTATGATCATTATCATGTCTGTAAGAATTTCTTGAATGATCTTTCTCATTTTCATTGTCATCAAAGGAACTCATATGCCGCTTGCGGTGTTTCTTATCTCTGTCACTTCCTAACCTTTTGATCTCCTCGAAACTGTATGTATCAGCCTTGTCGCTGTCTGTGCCATCTTTCTTGGTTCTTTCCCTCTCTTTCCTGCTTTTATCCCCTCTGTCTTTATCCCTTCTATGCTTTTCCTTCTTCTTTTCTCTATCTTTCCTTTCCTTCTCTTTTCTTGCCTGCAGAGCCATAATTCAAGGCTAGTCAGCTTACCTTGGATGCTTTGACTACATCTATGACCAAGATGTATATATTGATTGGTTATTAGGTTTTATTTTTGGGTTTATGTCATATTATATAGTTACATAGAGTATGAGAATCCTTTGCTATTACATGCAATATCTTACAAATAAAATATTAGGCGTTTATAAAGAAGTAATTTTTTATTTGTTTCAGTTCAACAACTTTAATTAACTGAATATATCCTTTATATGTCGCAATATACATTTATTGGTTGTATCTCGGCACCCGTATCCGCACTCGGAATACCCCCAAATCCAAATATTTATGTAATGAAGAATCTAACCTCTAGATCCCCACCCGTACCGGATACCCGCACCCGAGTCCGAGACACAGGTTTAAAGAGAGCTCCTTAGAATCTTATGGTTCAGTAAGGGTGAATCTAAACTTTTCAGAAAGAAAATAGAAGACAATCCATATCAACCGAAATCACACCCATATAAACTTTTCAGAAAGAAAATAGAAGACAATCCATATCAACCGAAATCACACCCATATAAACTTTTCAGAAAGAAAATAGAAGACAATCCATATCAACCGAAATCACACCCATACCACATCTACAACCCAAAATACGAAAGCGAGAGGAGAATAAGGGTTTGTAGTAAGTCAAGTACCTTATCCTCTTGCCGCTTCCGCTCCTTCTCTTTTGCCTTTTCTTTTAGTTCACTACTGAATTTGTCAAATATTTCCAGAAGAAAGCTCTCTTCGCCCATTATTCTTTAAAATAATAACAGCAAAAATAATCCATTCAATGTTACGACATAATGAGAATGTGAGAGTATGAGTAAAGAAGACTATTAAATATCAAAAGCATTTCGTTACAGCAAAAGAGGATAGACAAGTTAATAGTAGAGATCATAATAATTACTTCATTGGAATCTAGAAACAATCCACAAATATCAGAAATGAATAAACTAGTAACTGCTAGGTATTAAACTCTCGGTGTTGAAACAACTAATAATTGATATCAACCCATTTCCTTTGAGCGACAAGTAATTAAAAGTGATTTCGTGAAATGGTAATTCACGCTATACTATAAAAGACATAGCCAACTTAAACGTTGAGGAACATAAGCACCATATTATTCATCATATTGACTATTCTAAGTTATTTTTTAGAAGTATGTGAATTAATGGGATTAGAATATTCAAGGAGTTAGTTTTTGAAAATAATATCAATTATCAGAGTTTCCAAAGATATGATCCTTGCAGTAATGACTACTAATTCTAGATCAATAAAAGCCAAAGTAGCTCCGTGCCTATCTCCGAAGATGGATTTGCAGTCCTCCCATTTTGATGATGCAGTAATTTCCTGCAATCAGAGCAAAATAGATATACTGTTTTAAGGAAAACGTCATGGGATTGTTGCAATGTGAGAGATTATAAACTGTTTACTATACCTTTGATGTATGCAGAAGTTCATAGAATTCATCTGCTAGACGTTTACGTCTTTTAGCTTCTTTTTCTTCTCTCTCCCTGGCCCTTTCCAGTAACTCTTCAAAGACAAACTGTTCGGATGAAACAAGCAAATTCAATACTCAATGACTCGGCATGTCCAAAAGAATAGAGCAGAAAGTTTAGAAAGGAAGCATGGCAGAAGATTCAACATAGTCCGTGTATGACTTCTTATTCCTCCATTTGGAAGGGCAAGGGGGATAAGTTCTTTAAAAGTACTATTATCATCTTTTTGGAGTAATCCCTCATATAATATGGCTATTTTTTAATAAAGTACCTTACAAAGATTTTGAATGTTAAAAGTTTACTGTAAGCATACAAGAAGCCAACCAACTGTCTAAGCATAAGTCCTCGATAAGATACCTTGCAATTCCCGAGTACATAGATTATAGGTTTAAACCATGAACATAAAGAACTTCCAAAACCCAAATGATATTTGAAGAATGAGAATATCCCCATTACAAAAATATAAAATAATTTTGATATCATCCAGTTATGTTGTTTCACCAAATTTGTAGAGTAAAACTCTAACCCTCTATAGCTATTACTTAATGTACATCTAACCATAAAAAACAGAAACAAGGCAAACTGCTTTGGCATTAAGCAACTTGAGATATGTACTGTAGGTGTAATATTAAGCACCGCTGTCCAGGAAAGAAATAAAGTAACTATGGGAATGGTCGCACGACAATAGAAGCAAAAACCTTCCAGCACTAGCGGATGACATTAAAATAACAAGTCCAATGACCCACTCTTCTGCAGCTCTTTTCAGGAAATAGCCTTCAGTAAAAGCAGAAACTAACACCAAATGTTGGATCAATGTGGTCCTCGCCTTTTTGCTAGAAGGTTTCAGGTTTACTTGTTAACCGACGCACAAGTCTTCTTTTAACTCCATTACCTGAAGATGCAAAATTTTATACGGTATAGGTTGTGGGCTTGTGGCTGATACTAAGGAAAAATGACACTAACCCCAGCTGACTGACTACCTAGGAGTCGCCAATTTAGCTTTCATAAAGTGACCAGCTTCCAATGAAACATAACATGGAAGTACCACTTACGCCTTACCACTCAGTCCAATCAACTTACTCAGAACCTCACCAAACACAAAAAGGAGACAAATATATACAGATTTATATAGTGAAAGAGCGTTCTTTAGTTTCACTTAAAACTCAATTCTAACAAAAGCTCGAAGTGGAACAGAGTATACAGTGCCTTAGCCATAATTAGACCTTTAAGTTGGTATCTGATATCGGTGGAGAGCTAATATCCTTTGCAATTGCAACCTTAAAATCTTCAAGCGTCCAGGTTGATGTCAGTCCTATCTGAAAGCAGAGACGGCTCAGCAAAAATATTAGGTACTGGCCAAAGCACTGCAATGATTAAATATGAAGAGTAATGGTTACCTCAGCCATCCTAACTGCATCTCTAATGCGTGACTTGTCATCAAGATACTGCAGCAAGATAACCAAAATAGGATATTATATGGAGCCTTGTCCATGCATTTGAGTTACCATTAAGTCTATAAATTACAAGCAGGGTGATGGCATGAAATATTTGTCATGAATACATCATTTCTCCATTTGTTCAAAGTAGGACATCTAAAATACCACAACGCAGTTGACTTGATTGCATTGATCAGGTTGAATTTGAAGGAAAAATCAAGCACCACAGTTTGGATAAAAGCAAAAATTATTGGACGGTATCTCTGTTAACAAGAATCAGTTCTGCACGTTAACAGTAATACAAACTTTAAGCATAGAAGTCGGCATCTTTATCTCAGAAGAAAAAAAGGATGTCAGCATCTGACTATATTTCGAAAGCGCATCTAAGAAAATATGACCAAATCCAATCATTGAAGGAGAGCGGGAACAAGATCATTACTATGTTGAGGATACCAGCATGGACCTCTTTCATCAAGCAAAGAGATAAATACTGATAACATTGATCATTAACTTGAATTCTTTTAGGAAGGGGCAGAAAATGAAAGAAAATATCTTTTAGTTAGTGTAAGTGTCTAGCCAAAGGCCAAAAGAGGCTTGAGTTTAGGAACTTGGTTTCTAAGTAAAATTTTTCTAGTGGGAAGTAGTTATTGGTTTCCTCCAAATCCCAAGGACATATGGCCTCCATACAAATGAGTGAATGCAAAGTAAAAGCAATAACCATGTGAGACATAAAATTCATCTAGCAGGTTAACTTTTTTTCCCCCTATTGCGTCTTATAGAATAGGAAATGAAACATCTAATCATTTCCGAGAGAATAACTCTAGTCCAAATTCTCCTTCCATTTCTTTACCAATGATTTTCTTTTTCTTTTGATAAGGAGTTTAACATTGGTAACTGCCTCTCATGAATTCATAATGCTTTAAAAGTGTAAATGTTATACAACCTGGCCATATGATAGCTTAATTAATTCCATAACCTTTGGATTACAATTGGTGTTTGACAGTTAACATCGCCTTATAGAAAGCAAGTCTTCTCACATGTATACTCCTTTCTTATCCACACCCAGTCGTTGTCTTTTGATATATCAATTTTTTTTTTTGAAACTTGTATCCAATAAACATTTTGGGAAGTATGTAAGATCCTAAATCCTTTTTCTTGCAAAGATCTTCTGTGTTGGAAAGTGCATAAACAGAACTTCCCAAAATTTCAGGGACTCGAGGACTTCAAAAACAGCTATTGAAATCAACTTTTCAAGGTTCTTCAGATGATCCAAAATACAGCAATTATCCTCCCAAAGAACAAATGACAGACTTTGACAAGCATGCTAGCCGAACATATCTTCTTTAAGTAAGGCCCCCTTTTGTTAAAGGAATTTTCTTTTTTGATGAGGTAAGATTTTATTAGAAAAAAACAGTATCAAGCTGATACTGTTTCTTTGTAAGATCCCTTTTGTTAAAGCAATTATTCTAACCCATTCACAATGACATTTCTTTTTGACACGCATGCTAGTCAAACATATTTTCAGTAAGTAAGGCCCATTTACAATGATATTTCAAAAGCAAAATTTCTCCCAACAGACACTATGCACCTACAGGTGCGCTTACGTAACAAGATAACGTTTCCATATAATAGGGTGGAGGAGAGAGTTATTGAAACATTGCACAAGAACTTGCAGTTCTTCCAGAATGCAACTACTTGTAATGCTAAGCTAGAGTGCCATCCAAAGATGTGCTAAGGTATGCATTCAGGTGATCATATCATCAGAAATGACAACTAAATATCAATGGATCACTCTAAGTACTAGTAACCTTCTACTAAATATTAATGCATCACCCAAAATACATGTAACGCTGTAGTTTATGTTTTCTTTAAGAAAGCCTTCCCTCTAGTTTATGCTTCTCAAGAAAAGAGCAAAGTTTATATCATGAAGCTTGCACTAGTAAAATCTGTCGGAGATTCTGTCTCTGATTGATGAGCAAACAGAGAAGATCGTGGAGGCATGTCAGGCTTCAACTGGTAATTGACTAAAATGCTTCAGATCAAAAAATTTATGACGGCTGATTTGTTAAATCCCCTTACAAACTGTAGTTGACAGATATATCACCAATTTAGTCCTTGCTTGCTTTAATAAATCAATTTGGTTGTTTGGCACCATGATCTCTGCAGAACACTCAGTTTGTAAATTCAATCTGTGTTTGTCTAGTGGAAAGGATATGAAAACCTTATAAAAAGAAAATCTGTGCACACACCTTTTCACATAGCAATTGTGCCACAAAAGTATAGTCCTTTTTCTCTAACCTCTAAATTCCATATCCTACAATATTATTTCCATCAGTACCTCCTTTTCCTCTTTGATATCAGGCCGAATTAAGCATGATTTGGTAATACTAATCAACAATAAAAAGCAAAATGCTATCATCCACAGAAATTCACATGAAACATATCTCCCACGCCACAAGAAACTTCACCAGTACATTTGTGAGCCAATGTACTACTTAGAGAGATACTAGCAACCTATGTTCACCTGTTTCTCCAGCTCATCAAAAACATCTTGAAATAAGTCTTTTGCTGTTGGCCCTGAGGTATTTGATGAGACAGCCTGATATGCAGGTAAATCTTTGACCTGAAAGCACAAAAAATAAAGAAGGAAATTCTTGGTTATGAAATTCAAAAAGAACACAAAACAAAAAGGAAATTAATGAATATAATCACTCTCAGGGAAAGTAAGAAAGAATTAATAACCTTGATGCAATAATCACGCCAGTTAGTTTTTGCATTAAGTATTCCCGCAGCAAGATGCTCTTCCATCAGTTTTCGGAACTCATCACGATTTTTACGTTCTGCTTTCCTCAATTCATCCTATTTGAATCCGTGGTATATGTTCAGTCAGAAAGAGATAAAACAAAGTCTCAAAAGGTAAATTTAATGGCAAACCCCAGAGTCCAATTAACAATATACCATCCGCAGTTTCCTGTGCTCCTCCTCTTCCCTCTCTAAATCACGTATATATTCCTAATGTACAGAAAAAGAACAAGAAAAAAAAAAGGTTGCAACATAACTTCAATCCTGGTGCTTAAAAAATGAGATGTTAAAAAAAAATTGTGTAAGAAAAATAAGAACTACCTGGAAAATCTCCAAACGGTCAATTTTCTCAAGGCAAGAGCATCTTTCATCATCTTCTAAGCGGTCCTGAACTTTCCGCCACTGGCTGCTGGCCTGAACAAAAGAAGTCAGCAACAAAAGAAAGCTCTACCTCCTGGAAATGGAAAAACATAATATAGGAACTGGTGCTAATTCCACTGGGACAAATACCTTAATAAAGTCACAGGATTTTAAAAATTCTAAATACTCCACTCTGTTGCGCTTCTGCTCCTCCAATGCCCTTGCACGCTCCTAAAAAAGATTCAGTACAAAGTAATAAGATAAAATTTCTCTTTAAAGCAGACCACTTCTAAAAAGGGACATCATCTACACTTGCATGAAAGTATTGAAAAGCTTCTTCTATTTTTTGGGGCGAAAGGGATCAGCAGAGGGAGGGAGAAAGAAGCGTGTCATGGTTTCGATTCAAGCAAAATTCCATTCAGTACAGGAAAGACGGAAGAGTGAAGATAAGAAAGTGTGTGCAGAAATACCAATTAAAAGTCTGTTTAGATTGGAATTCATTGGTGAACAAATTTAAAATGCTGTCGCCCCTTGAGAACCCATTTAAAATTTATTCAATGAACACTAGATTTTAAGTTGAAACTTTAGAACACTTATTTTTTCCCTCTTTAAACCAAAAAAAAAAGGGTAACAAATTAAAAGACGTTTTGCAGAGGGAATGGAATGAATATTGTTGAGGTAATGAACCGAGAACCTAACTCAATTCTGAAAGCTAAGGTGGGGAGAATTGTCCAAGACCATATAAGGAAACTACAGCCCATACACCTAACTGATGAGGGATTCTAACACATTAATCGCATGCCCAAGACTGGACAGAGCATCGAGTAACCTACGTGGCTAATATTGAATAGTCTAGCATCAGGATAGGTCTGCCTCTTAAACCATGTTTAAGATTGTCCAAGACCATATAAAGGAAACTACAACCCATAAGCCCAACCGATGTGGGATTCTAACACATTAATTGCACACCCAAGACTGGACATTTGGGGCGTTGAGTAACCTTGGTGGGCTAACAATGAATAGTCTAGCATCAGAATAAATCTGCCTCTAATACCATGTTTAAGATAATGGACCTTGTGGCTTGCCTAACTCAACATGAAAGGCTAACTCAATTAGTGAGGCTTGTCCAAGATCATACAAGGAAATAACAGCCTGCAACTTAACCAATGCTGGATTCTAACAAATACAAGCAGACAAGAATTGATTGACACAAGGGAAATCCACAACTTCTTGTAAGTGCCTTCCTTTACTAACTCTGTGGAAGAAGATTCACCTTTTTCTCAAGTTTCTCCATATAATCTTCAAAAAGGTCCTCACGATCTTTTGCTCGTTCAACAGCTTTAAAACGTTCATCATGTTCGAATATGGAGATTGCCTTACTGAATAATCAATAGCAGATAGTTAGTGGATCAAACTGAACTTGCACAAATGATGGAGCAAATTCAAGGTACACAAAAAATACAAACAATGATCAAGAACAGAAAACCAGCAGCATACAACTTAGCATTACAAATGAAAGACAAACCTCCATCTTGTAGATGGTGCCAGCTCCTTGCACTCCTGTGGAAGATTGAAAAATAACAGCAATTGTTGTGAAAATCAAATCTTTTTTTTTTTAAATAAGTGAAATATACCAAGTGTCTTACACATTAAGATATATCAAATGGAAGAAACTCACAAAAGAAAATCATAAAAAGAACATTTCGCTTACTTCTAACATTATCCTGAAATCTTCCCGAGCTTTCTTCTGTTTAACACGTCTCTCTTCAGCTTCCAGTTTTTTCTTATGGCTCAGATACTGGAACAGAACACAGAACTTACATATTAAGCTATAGATCTTATACTTTTTTAAGTACAGTATGCTGAAACATTGAAGCAGCAATTGACCCATTCCAGATATTTGTTATGTAACCAAAACATCAACTGGAAAGGGAAAATTTTCCATCAACTGCATCATCATCAAATGCCTACTAGGAGAGATACCTCATTAAAAGCTTGCTTCCGCTCACCAAGAGATTTTAGAGCACCATATCTCCGGTCATTGATTATTGCTCTCATTGCCTGACAAATACAATTCATATCAAATGATCTTCCTCAATTATTCCGCATGCACAAAACAAAGCAAGTAATAAACCTGATCCCACGTCCAGTCAGACCCAATATTTGCAGACTCTAGAAGAATTTTGAATGCACTCTTTGCCTCCTGAATTTAGCAGCCAAGAGTTGAAGACAATATGCAAAAGGATATCATAACAAGCAATGTAAGCAATAACTCGAGGTAATAAAGCTCAGATACTTAAACAGGAGAATAGGAGTAAGAGAAATTTTCAGAACATACAACAAAGGGAGAAAAACGGAAAAACAATTAAATTTACCGCTTTGCTCTCATAAACTAATGGTCCCGGCTCAACTGTTTTCTCTTCTGATGGAGTAACACTGCCTGTTTCAGATATCGTAGCATCTTTCTTAACTTCCTGCATTTAAGGCACAACATCAAGCACAAAGTACAGAAGAGAAAAACTCATTGGAGCATAATCTTTACCTGTTAGCAATTGACTAACAACTGCAGTACATTGTTGGATCAACATCCAGCTAATAAAAGCTTTCTTAGGGTTTTAACCACTAGTACTTACCTAATCGCATAATTATTTCAAAAAGGCAAAGTACCTCCGTATTTTCCAGAGAAACTCCATCTTCATACACTATTGAGTCCTGAGCTGAAGGAAACTCAGAACTAGTCCTGCAAAAATTGAAGTCCAAATATGATAGCAACACAAGCCAGAGGCAAATTTAATCTGAAACATATGAATCTTTCTAGCATACACTGGTGTTGCAACAGAATTTTCCAAGGTTACTGCTGTTCCATTTTTCTCTGAAGTAGCAACAGCTGGCGAGGCAGGTTCCAAAGAATTCTGCATTTCGACTGCACCAATCGTCAGGGAAGAAATATTACCAGATAAACTTGATGATTCTGAAGCCACAATAGTTGGTAAGTTAGAAACTGGTGCCACAGCAATTGGGCTTGACATAGCTCCTTGTGCTGAGACTGGTGAACCATTTGCACTGGGGGATGATGTTTTCACACCAGAAATGGATCCAAAATCAGAAGCGTGTGAAATACTGTCCCTTTCTTTTCCCAATCCCTTGACTAAATCCACTTTCATACCCTGACGAGCCAACTGTGGATGCATAAATAATAGATTTTTGAGAAACAGATACAACAAAACAGAATAGTTTCCTCTTTTTTTATCATGGAATTTAAAGCAATGAAAAATCCATATTGGATTTAAAATTTAACATCACCTTGACTTCATCAGGCATTTTCCATTTTGACTTTCTAGTAACCTTGTTGTAGTAATACCTGTAGAGAATAATCAAAGCAATCAGCATTATGCATAAATAACACACAAAAGTATCCACACTGTAAAAGAACAACCAGAACAAGGACAAGAAGAACCTATATAAGTTACACACTTTTTTCCCTGAGGACTTGTAAATTCTCTCCAGTCAGTTGATGCATCCGCCCTCTGTCCCCAATGAAAACAGAATGAACGCAGATCAAGTCAAAAAGCTGAACATACAGTATCTCAGGAATAGATATCAGTAACTTCCAGCTGTACAGTCCAGGATGGAACATGGAAGCATGCGTGCAGTGGTTCAAAATAACATATGCATCAAGAAAGACAGCCCTCAAACAAGCTATAATCAAAAACCAAAGAAAACATGCAAATTCAAATGTTGAATAAGAAAACAATGACATTAACACCAGTCGGAGGTTATTGATATCCCCTGCCAAACTTCAAAAGAGAAAAAGGAAAAGGTTCAAATTGCCCTTGTGGTTTGTGAAATGGTCTACTTTTACCCTCCTTTAAAGTTGGGGTCAATCATAGGGGTGTTCAAAATCGAACCGAAACCGAAAACCGAACCAAAACCGAAGCTTAATGGCTTATTGGTATCGGTTTAACGGACGGGGAACGGATTGAAATTTTTTTATTAACGGCTTATCGGTTTGGGGGCGGATTATTCAATTTTCTTAACGGATAATCCGTTAACCCGTTAAGAAAATATATATATATATNCAAACCGTTAAGAGTAAATAACCGCCCAATCCGCCTGATAAGCAGCCCTAGTCAATCATACCCTCGTCGTTACACAACTGGCACACATTTGCCCTTGTTTTCAATTCAGCTAACAGAATCATTAAAAAAGAAAATGATCATATTTACACCTATACTTTAGAAAATTGTTAATATTTATCCCAAGTTTAATGTTCGGACTAATATGGGTCCAAATGGTTTACGTTTGCCCTCCACTTGAAAGTTGCCCTTGACCAAATTGGGTAGGGGAAGTGGGCGGTGGGCCAGGAAGGGGGAGGTTGGTCAGGGCGGGGAGTTAGAGGGTGGGCGGAGGGTGCCATGGTGGGGGTAGGTCCGGGCGAGGTCGAGGTACAGTGTGGTANGGGTGTGGATTGGGGGGGTAAGGGTGGGATGGGGAAAGTTGAAAGAGAGCCTTGGAAAATGTTTTCCCTCCTCTTGGTAGGGAAGTCATTTTCCTCCATTTGGAGAAAAATGATTTCAACGACAACCCAGTGGAATCCCACAAGTGGGGTAAGGAGAAAAATGATTTCACAAGAAAAATATTTTTTCATAACATTTAAGCTAACCAAACATGGGAAAGTTGAAAAACATTTATACCAAACACACCCTAAGTATAAAAATTAGCAAAAACGTTTAGAATTATAATGAATTTTTCTTCTTCTTTTTCTGAGAAGGCAAAGACAATCTTTGAAAGTATATTTTTTTATCCTTTTAAACCCACCAATTACATGGATCATCTTTTTCGGGCCATATATGTAAAAAAACTTAGAACAACATTGTTTTGGCTACAATTGTTTTGTTTGGCTAAAGATAATGATATTCTAATCTAAGTTATTTTTACATACTTGACCAAAAAAAAAATTGCATCTAAAGAAGAAATAAAAAGAAATACGCAAACGAACTCCATTATTTTGGCTAAAAATAATAAAATTCTAACCAAATGTTTTACAAATTTGACCCCAAAAAAATAAATATATAGTTAAAACAAATAACTATTGCATGAAAAAAAGAAATTATTCTTTCTCTAGAAAATGCACGGTTTGAACTCCATTGCATTAGCAAAAAAATAATGAAATTCCAACCAAATGTTTTACAAATTTGACCCAAAAAAATAATAAATAGTTAAAACAAATAGCTATTGCATGAGGAAAAAATACACAATCTTTTTCTTTCTCTAGAAAGTACACTCTTTGAACTCCATTGCTTTGGCTAAACCTTCTTTTTATTTAGCTCAACTAATGAAGTTTGATTTGGCCCGAAAAGAAAAAAGAGGATTTACACAGTTGGAACAAATAACCACTGTATCTAAAGAGGAAACAAACACAATTGGGATAAAATACGCCATGTATATTAAGAAGAAACAAGGAGAAATACAATAGGAACAAATAAATCATTGTATTTTATTATGTGGCAATAATAGTTGGAAAATACCCCACTTGAAAGCTAATTTCTTTTTTTCCCATCCATCGCCTAAAAGAGAGTGTATTTATGGTTTTTGCCACATCAGCATCCCGGAGGGTCGAGGCTATCAAATGCGAAGTTCAGGGAGTAACTAGAACCAAAATTAGTTCAGGTGTGCACTGAACAAAATGTGCTAAGTTCAAGGGGGTCCAGATATATTCTGCAAATAATTAACTATTTGTATATATTCTTGATTGGCGCCTTTCTTTGCTAAAGCTCATACTTTAACTGCGCTTTGTCCTTACAACTCCAACAAATTTTGACACTTTTCTACAGTTTCTCTTTGACAATAGAAGGAAATAACGAGATTTCCTCACATTTTAACAATCCCATCAGAGTGACTAGAGGAAGGAACTCAAGCTCTTAAAAGAATACCTAATCCAAGCACACATTTTAATATTGATATTAAGATACAAAGGACTAAAAGCAAGTGTCAGAATGCAAGCCAGCTAATGAAACTTGGCAGGTTGTGTTTCATACATCTGTAACTTCTATATTTATTGTTTGATCTTCTAGTTTATAAGCTGCACATCATAATAACAGCTAATTGCTCAAGTTTTAGGAACAAAGAATGAAGGTAACTCCGAGGATATATCATATGTTCCCTCCAAAGAGAAGAAAGTCAAGACACCTATGGTTTCTCATTGTATGACACATATTTAGGCAAATAGATCCAAAGAAAACGTGCATTGTGTAGCCTCATCTTAAAGTACTAGTCAAAGAAGCTTGTTGCTTATATCCATTTATGATTCAACTCAGTCCTAGAACACTTGAATTAATTTCCAAAAGTTTATAAAGTTTATTTGTGATTTGGGACCATCCTCAACAGATTAATTTTTGGGGTCTTGGCAAAATCCTAAATTATCATTCTTCCACTTTTTTACTTCTTCCATGTTTTGTGCATATTTATTTCAATAGGATAAAATTTTACGCTTTGAATAGTAACATTACTGCTTTGTAACTTGCAAGTGTTCAGACTTCCTTATACCTCCAGCTCTTAGTCCCTTAATATTTGTCCCTCACCTTAAACAATCAAAGTCCAAAAATCTCCCCACCAGCCAAACTACTCTTCTGTAAACCAGAATGTGAAGAGTGAACCTCAGTCTTACATCAAGTTTCCACTCCCCATCTAGCTATAGAGTAACAATGACATTACATTAATCAAGACAAAAAAATTGCTGGTAAAAAAATGGCCCAAAATAATCATGTATTGCATATGCTTAACACACATCTTTTAGAACAATAGTGGAAAATACAAAATCTTTTATAGCTATACTGGAAACAAAAGGCAAATGAATATCCCAATTGAAGACTACATAGTATAGCAAGATCAGAGAGATCTGCTCTCTCTCTCCGAACATTATGCAGAAATCACAGATGTTCAGGAAAGAAAGAGTGTTAAGCTTCATACTTCAAGAATAGGATAAAACTTTTTTTTTAAGTACAAGAAATTGGATAAAACTAAACTGTCACTATCTGCATAAAGCAACAACAACAACAACAACCCAGTATAATCCCACTAGTGGGGTCTGGGGAGGGTAGTGTGTACGCAGACCTTACCCCTACCCTAGGGTAGAGAGGCTGATTACGATAAACCCTCGGCTCCCTCCCTCCAAGAACTCCCCAACTTGCTCTTGGGGTGACTCGAACTCACAACCTCTTAGTTGGAAGTGGAGGGTGCTTACCACTAGAGCAACCCACTCTTGTCTGCATAAAGCAAAAGACTAAAAGCTGGCTGACAAGTGACCTCACCTCCATATCTGTCATCAGCTCTAGAGGTTTCTCCCAGCTAGAGATTCTTGTCCTTCGATTATAATAATATCTAAAAATTTAATTGCAGAATTGTAAGAAAGTTAGTAATTGGTTGAAGTGATAAACCCATAGGAAATATAATAACAATAGCAATCATGATTTGCAAGTGATCATTAAAAGATGCTCAATTAGCAATACCTACTAGCATGAATCCACATGTAAAAGATGTATGATGGTAAATTGGGGTCAAAATAACTTCATTGATTGAGGTGGATCAAGTTCTGCTTATCAATAGTCAGATAGAACTTGGTTGCGGTGAATGGCAGTCCATGCGGTGTCTTTGGCAGTCCGAGGGGACTCAGACTGCAGGGCACATTGACTTTGATACTACTGGAACAAAAATGATGGACAAAGCAGTTGTAGGTGGATACTTGAGGGACTTCTCGACAGTGATGGGAGCCAATTTACCCACTACTTGTTCGCGGACAACACATTAGTGTTTGTGATGCAGACATTAACCCAATATGGTATGAGATAGTATCAAGATCTGAAGATAAACCTCACAAAGTATGAGATCATGTGAGTGGGCGGCGCAGTGGACCATATCGATTTGGAGCTCTACCCACTATACATCTTGGTGTGCCTTGTGTGCGTCTAACAAGGACCAAACACAGTGAAAAGTGATGATTGAAAGAGTTGAAAAGAGATTAGCAGGATGGCACAGGAACTATTTGTCAAAAGGGAGGAAGGGAGTACAGAGTGTTTTGTCGACTATTCCGACATGCTTCATGTCACCGCTACAAGCATTGGTTAGTATTCATATAAATTAGAGAGACTCCAAAGGAACTGCTTATGGGAGTAAGGAAAGGGGGCTCCGAAGCTTCACTTAGTCAGATGGGAGAGAGTAACGACACCAAAGAGATGGGGAGGCCTCACGGATAGATCTTCATGTTTTCAGCAAGGCTCTACATAGAGATTTGAGATCGAGGAACAAGCTCTATGGAGGGGGTAATAGCAGAAAAACATGAAAGGTGGATGGGGCCGAGGACTTAAAACACATTTTCCTTTTGGGAGCAGCCTGTGGAGTAATATTATGAAGGGATGGGACGAGTTCAGCGGATAAGTCATATTTAGGGTTGGGGATGGAACTAGGGGCAATTTTTGGAAGCACATGTGGTGTGGTTGATTCACACATTTCCAAACATCTACGGAAAGAAATGACAGAACAGCGGGTAAGAAGGATGCATGAGGAGGAATTCAATGGGACTTGAAGTATAGGAGGAGTGTCTTCAAGATTGGGAGATAGATGAACTTGAAAGCCTATTTGAAATGTTCTACAAGGTAAACGCATTGCTTGTCAAACAGGACTAATGGAGATGGGGTTGGGATCAACAGGAGGCTCTCAGTTAAGTCGTATTACCATAAGCTTTTGGTTAGAGAAGAACTAGCATCCCTGTATCAATCAATTTGGCTGGGACACCAGAAAGGTATGTTTTTTGGCTTGGTTGACAGTAAGAGGAGTGATCTCAACAGCGAAACTAGAACGAGGAGGATTACATATGTCAGTTGGTTTTTTATGTATAACACTTCGTGTAAAGATATAGATCATCTCCTTTTGCATTATATGTAGCATATCAGTTATGGTGGGAGATTTTGAAATGGTTCGGCTTACAATGGAGGATGTCAGGCACAGTGAAGGAGGCAATATTAAGTTGTGCTTTCAGAAGAAGGGAGAGAAGACAAAGGTGTGGGATATTGCTCCACTAGCTCTTATGTCCTTCCTTTAAAGGGATAGAAATATGAGAGCTGTTGAAGGGATAGAAAGTGATTGTGTACATTGATGAATATTACCTCTAATTTCTTTTTGGTGCACCAATTAGAATCCAGTTTGTAAGGAGATTGGGTATCTTTTATAGAGAATCATCTTTTTTGCGGATTTTCTACTTTATGGTTATACAGCTTGTTTTCCAAACTAATTACAATCATAATAAAGTTATTTTACCTTTAAAAAAGCATAGTAAAGAGTGCATATAGAAGCATTCAGGCGTAAGATATTGTTTTGATGCATTCCACCAAACTCTTCTACTTATTTCTCAAAGTTACACTGTAGCAAGGGCATGGAATAAGATGCTAAACATGAGAGATATCAGTTGAGTATGCAAGGAAACATGAAGAACCATTTTCCAGAGTCGCGACAGAATTACAAGAAGAAATAGAGACATTGCTTGGGAAGTGACATTTCCAACAATGATGTGGACAATTTGGCGAGAAATTGAAGAGTCTTAAAGAGGAAAGGAAGTGCTAACTGTCAACTTGCCTGGCGAGCAGATATCTGAGATAAGCAACACATTTAACATTTTGACAGATGGCGCGTAGCAAGACGATCTAGAAAGAGGGATAAGAGCTCTAAGTTCACATCATCAGCTTCTATTAGAGGGATGGATAATTCTCCCAGGCACTGATACAGCCCTCCCTTTTTTTGGTTGCCCAGAGTGAATTCCTCTAGGAACAACTGAACTATTAGCCAAAGGTCTAATAACTCTTGTTAGTTTATAGATATGTATAGTGTAGTCTTGTCCCACATTGGAAGAGGAGTAATATCTCCTTGTAGTGTATAGCTATAAATAGGGACCTCTTGTATTGTATTTATCATCTAATATCAATAACATATTTTCTCCCGTGCCTTCTCACATGGTATCAGAGCATTAGTGAGAAAAGATCGTTGTGCGTCATTCCAGCGTTAACCGGGAAGAAAGAACTTAGTCATCGTGTAATTTTTCCGGTGACCTAAGGCTTGTCTAAGTGAAAGTCACTTTCTGTCGGTGTTGTGCTAAAACCAACACCACCA